GAATGTAGTGGCAATGGTAACATATCTAATTAGTATACATTTACTCTTCTTAAAAGCTTTGCAAGAAAACTTCTCCAACACAAAAATAATAGAAACAGAATAAAAAAAAACTATCCCCCTTAGCCTGTGCTTATTATTAAGTGCAGTAATTTGCAGCAACAATTTAGAATTCATCTTTCCCCAGTATGACTTCAGAAACATGATTGGTTACTATGACCTATTGCATTTCGAAACTATCACTTAAGAATAAGCACTCCACTAGTGAGTAAAGTAGTGTGCCCATAACAAAAAAAAGTATATAAAAAAAAAGGAAATAGACAGATATGTAAATAATATAATCCCACCTGGTAATGATTATAGTCAAGCATTTCCAGCATACTACAGTCCAACGGCTTTAGCCAAAAAGTCACCTAAAACTTGGTTATCTTTAGCTCTCAAGCGGCTTTATTCAACCTCCACAAACAAGTTTTCTAAAGTGCGCACAAGAAACTTCATTACAGCTATCCAGGGCTTATAATAAGCTAAGCTAATTAGTTACGCGTGTAAAGAAACAAACAGCTCATACAAGGGGCTTTTTGGGAGCCCGGGCAAGTGTTGCCATTTATCTGGATACTATTTTTTTCTGACGACTTTGACGTCATTCTTTTTCATAAACATAAAAGGACCTCTTTTAAGGGGGCATGCTATCAAAGTCAAATTGGCAAAAACGCTCGGGGCGTTTCGTCTATTCATCTTTTGTTCCAGTGCTGCCGATAGACAATGTTCTGTCTTTCTAATCCGTAAGGTTAAAAGTTGTGTGTTCGTGTTTTATAAAAGCAGACATCGCGCTGGGATTCCTACGCATGAGTCTCCTTTACACGTGTCAAGCATCCATACATTAAAATATGGCTCCCTGCTGGCCCCGTGTATGGCTCTGTGTTAGATGTTATCGCTTGCCACTGTAACGATTCATTTGCCCCACTTGAGGTCATTTTTGGTTATGATTTTTTAGAGGAGATGTACACATTTGTAACAGAAGATACACTTAATCTCATTTAAGCAGGCGCAGCTCTCGAAATTGTACTATTTTTAAATGGTCACTGTGGCATATTTTAAAGGGGCGCAGGTTTTAGGACACCTTTGCTGAAGGGCTGTTCAGATTAAAGCTAAACTCCAGGAAACAGCTAAGACACAGGGGGTAGGATGGGCTGATTCTGACTAGCTGACTTCATTTCTAATGTTGGGTTCTTTTTTTCAGCACCAAAACTCAAACCCCATTTTAGTGATCTTTAGGACTCTAGAACAAGATATTGGAGCACACTAATTAGGTATGTCCCAATAACATTTTTTTTGTTTCAAGACCAAGTACAAGTACTTTCCCTCAGGTATTGCCGGTACCAATTACCTATACTTTTTCTTAAAGGGACATTTTTTCTAAAACAATAGAGACTAATGATGATTTTAGGGCAGTTTCTTTATAAATATAAAGAACTGTAACTCAATCAATGATCATTCAGCAATGGAGAATGGCAACCAGCAATAGAGGGCTACAGATGCAATCAATCCATAATTAAACAGCAATGGAAAATGGCACCCGGCTATAAAGGACTACAAATCTCAGCAATCCATGATTATTCAGCAATGGAGAATAGCAACCAGCAATTGATGGATTGCTGAGATTATTGTCAGTTGCCATTCTCTATTGCTGTATAATCAATGATTAGAAGAGCAATGTGGAATGGCAACCAGCAATAGAGGACTACAAATCTCAGCAATGCATGATTGCTGGTTGCCAGGGCTGCGTGCAGATCTCACCAGGGCTGTGTTTAAGATTCACCAGAGCTGCATGCAGATCTCACCAAGGCTGTGTTTGTGATTCACCAGGGCTGCGTTTGGGTCTCACCAGGGCTGCGTTTGGGTCTCACCAGGGTTGCGTACAGATCTCACCAGGGCTGCATTTGGGTCTCACCAGGGCTGTGTTTGAGATTCACCAGGGCTGTGTTTAAGACTCACCAGGGCTGTGTTTGGGACATACCAGGGCTGCATTTGAATCTCTTCAAGGCTCTGTAGGTGGGTGCCGGGCTGAACGGGTGGGATCCAGGCTCATGCCGCCTTCGGAGCTGTACAGACAGGTGTGGGGTTTTCCTTAGCTGTGCCGGCGTCGGAGGCAATGTATGGCCGGACCAGCACTGTCAAAAGACAGCTGCTTTAGGCCCCAGCAGGCTGCCTCAGCTCCCCAGCAAGCAGGGGAACATCAGGCAGCCGAACATATTTAAAAATTTTAAGGGCCGGTATAGGTCTTTAAAATCGGAGCATTTTCAAAATGCCCTGTATCGGCCCTGATACCAATACTAGTATCGGTATCGGGACATCTCTAATACTTATATAAAAGCTGAAGTCCAGACAAATAGCTAAATGCACAGATGATATACATATATGAGAACTGCTTTACCTGGCAAAGGATTTATATTTCTGCCCATCCAGTCCTGAGAGGTATGCAGCTCTGCTCCACAGCACAGCTCAATGTAGCAGGGAAGGGCTCCTGATATTTCCCTGCTGCAGATTCACTTTCACCTACAGGCCTCCTACTCTCCTCAACCTGTAACTGGGCAGTGAAAAGAGAAGCAGCATACCGATGAGCACATCCCTCAGTCACTCTGCTCTCTATCTATTAGTATACATCAACCCACCTGGCTGGCTCTTTGTGCTGCTCCTTCCCTACCTTCTCTGAGCATTGTTCTACAGTAGACTACAAGAGGCTGATGTCTTTTAACCTGACTTACAATGTAACTATAAAGGGGAAAGTGCAAATGTATGAAAGATCCAGTAAAACTTTAATGATCGTTGTGCAAAGTTTATAAGAAGACAGCAAACACATTTCAGATGGCTAAACAAATCCCTCCATCAAGGCTAATAAAATAACATAAAATAAGTGTATATAAATATATCAATAGATTTATATACATGTGTGACAAGCTAGGTTCATATAATGAACAATGATGCATATGAAACTAGAGCATCAGCACTATTTATTTGGCTTATCTTGGACACCCAGTGAATAGAGTGGATGCTCCTGATGATAGGGATTTCAAGATTCTCACAGCCACAGACATGACTCCCAGAGAGAGATGCATCATGGGATTTGTAGTTTCACCACAGCTGGAGGGCCGGAGTTTGGACACCCCTGCCTTATGGTGACAACAATGCCCATACCTGGGTAATGTGTGTTGAAACTCACATATGTCGAAAATTGCCATTTATAGCTTCCATGGGAAGCCCATATGACAGGGTGACGATGCAGTAATACAGCTGGGAGAGAGGGACAGAGCGTTGTCACCCTATAACAAGAAGTGCCTGAACAAAGACCTTCATGGCAGGATCACTAGATATTTTAATGAAAGCTGCAGAATTAACAAGATTGAAAATTATTTTTAAACGTACCCTAAAGTGCTGTTAAGGTCAAAAGATTTTTATCAAATGCTGATTCCGGCAGAATCAGCTGACCCTCTAAGCACTGGTCCTGATATCTTGTTTTAGGGTGGCTCCTTTCCCTTGCAGGGTCATATAGAGCTACCCCTGTGTGTGCTAGTAAGCTGTGTGTTTCTCCATACACAGCTTAACTCCCCATTCACACCTTGGCATTCTGTGAACACGTGGCAAATGCATATCATGCGTCCACTAGATATAAAATAAAACTAAATACAAATGAGTCTTTTAAATGATCTGACATTGATGGAACTCTTCTACATGAGACAATACTTCCTCTGTTTGCAAAAACCAACAATAAATGTTACAATGTATATTCACATGTTAACAACGTTGATATTGTTACGTAAGCTTTATCGCTGGGCAAAGCCTTTGACCTTTCAGTTATTTTTAACTATTCTCTTCAAGGCCGAGACTATTTTAGACTGCAGTAACTCAGAAATTATAAATGTTTTTTTTTCTTTTACAATTGGGATAATTCTAATGAAAAACACGAGCTCTGAATAATTCAAAATTCTCTACCAGTGCTGACTGGCGAGGACTAAAGGTCAATGAAATTGAGAATAATGGGCTTCTTCTGTCCAAGGCAAGAATCGCAGTCCGCTAGAATTCTCACACTGATCTATACGCTTATGTTGTATGTCAGTGAAGAAATATTTAGTCTTCCGCCTACACTATTTG